GACGAGTGAGCTAGTTAAAGTTTTAGCTTTAGCGATTCATACTATATATACAGCTTACAATTGTTTAATAAAGCACATATAACTAGCTTGATAGAGGGTTTAAAAAATATATATATATTATTATAATTAATATATTTTTTATTAAAATAAAATAAATTAATATTTATTAACAAAAAATTCAATTTTAATTATTTTAAAATTTTTGATTTTTATATATATTTATTAATAAACAATATAAGCATTTTATGAGCTACTATATATATATATATATTATTATTATTATTATTTTATTTATTATAAATAATTTTATTTAAATAGAAAAAAAAATTAAAATAATTAAACTATCAAATTAATATTAATTTCAAAATTTAAAAATTGAATTGTATATTTTAAAACTTGAAAATTAAAATCAATTAAATTCAAATAATTTAATATTTTTAAATTTTGATTCAAATGAATCAGTTGGATTCAGATTTAAAATTATAATAACTAATATATAATCTACAAATATTTAATAAAGTACTAGTTTGATAAAAAATTAAAAAAACATTCTTTTTTTATAAAAAAAAATTTTTTTTAATGAATTTGAATTAGTTAAAAAGAAAAACTTTTTCAATTTATTTAAACAATACTGTAGTTTCTTGATCTGAAACAACTATTCAATAAAACCAAAGCATTTAAACATAACACTATAAAGAAGATCAGTCTCATTGTGATATTAATCATGTATTAACCATGTTATTATTATATTGATTTGAAATAAAACTTTGATAAAATAATTTCTTATAGGAATATTTTCAAAAGATATTTACAAAAAAAAAAATAACATTGATATTTACAGTATATCTATACGTTTTTATTTAAGATAAAAATACCCATTTATTTATCATAATCGAATAAAATATACTATATTTATTTATCATAACTATAAAACTATCGCATGCATTGTTTTCTTATGAATCGCGACAATTACTGTAAGTTTTTGATTGGCTTATATCTCTCTATGCAAAGACCTCTTTGGTCTGAATAATTTTAAGTTTAAAGTAACATGCCGGGTGGTTTATGCGGCAAATTACGGAATTATCACACGAGACATTATTGCATATCATATTAATGCAAAATGAAAATGTGAATTCTTTGATGCAGTTAGTTTATGTAATAGTTACCAGGTTACATTCTGCGGTTTGTCCTAACAATTGCTACTGTAGGTACTCTTTATTTCCTTCGTTTACATATTGCAATACTACCACTGAAATGGCACACTTCCGGTAAACAATATAGCTTGACCATATTATTAGCCGGAAAATTATGAATAAATTTCGTACAGCATTTGCTGATCACAACTGGCAGACTTGGCTTCCTACATATTGATAAGATCAATAAATATTCGAACCAAGTTTTTATTATATAGACTTGAAAAAATACATTTGAGAAGAGAAAATACAAAAATATTACAAAAATAAATAGATTACTCCAAAACAACGGTAATTATCTCACAATGCCAAAAATGAACAAAACATTTATAAAAAAATATATAATTCAAATTAATAAGTTTAGTGTAGAAGTACAATCTATGTTCGTTTTGTACACAAGCATTCATGAATGCGATGATATAATGGGTAGTGTCTTGTGGTATGAAGGTAATGCATGTAATTTCCAATAAAAAGAATGTGGGTTGAAGGTTATTAAATTATGGATGGGTAGATGTGCGGTTTAAATACGGTATATAATAAATATATGTATAGAATTAATAAATAAAGATTTTTAAAAAGGAGAAGTGAAGAATGTCAAATTTTCACTTTCAAAGAAAATCGACCTTTTTTTTTTTAATTTACTACCAAGTTTCATCATCACTTGTGGAATTCACACCGTCGCTATCAACATCTACATCCTCGACTTCAGTTCGTTCATCCTCTTCTTCTTCTTCTTCCCCTTCCAGCACAAAGAACGGCCTTGTCCTTGGCAGATTCGAATTCTTTTTCAACAGCAAGTCTCTCATTAACAGCACCCGCTCCCTCATTGTAGTTCCAACCTTATTCTTGAACATGTGATATTCGCTATTGTCATCAATGGTATTCCCTTTTGTTATATTCCATTTCTTTTGTTTTTCTTCTTCGATGTCGTTCTTTCGTTTGCTTTTCCCATCGGAAACCTCGAAAACCACGTTATTCAAATACAAATATATACGATTTAAAACCCCACTGTTTAAAAATCCCTTCTTTCCCTCATTCTTCCAACACCCTCTTTTCTCCAAGAATTCCTCCAACTCTAACCTTACCATAGGTCTATAACATACGCTGGTCCTGTAGGCTGGTGAGAAATCCTGTGGATGTTTGTTCAACTCGGGAATCTCTTTGTGATTCTTCCTCCACAAATCTTCCCAGAACAAATACCACCATTGATGTACCCGCGACAAATTCACTGCCCTCATTCGCTCGTACAAATATATTAAACTTGGGTAATCGGTCTCGGGTATAGCTTGTACGATTGAATTTTCCTCTGTGTTTACCAGTAGGGCCGGTAAAGATTCGAGAGGTATCGATGGATTATCGTAAACGTTTATGAAAAATCCGTAAGACAGTGTCCTTTCTTTTACTTTAGCTTCGTCTCTATAATACTCTCGGTATTCTTCCATCAAGTTTTGTATTTCATTTAGCCCAACTGACAACAAGTCATAATTGTCCGTGAATAGTTTTTCCAATTGTGGAGTCATCTGGAAATCCGTTGTTATACCGATGACATCATGTGACACCACTCGTTCATGTGTTGGTTTTGAAGAGTCCTGAGGAGAGTTCCATTTTGAAGCGGCAGTATACGTGATGGTCACATCAAATCCAGGATTCATATTGTAATCTTTCCATTTTGAATGCTGCTTGCGTCGTATCTGGAGGAGACCCCGGTAATAACGGATTCCCGGTGAGCAACCAGAGAACTGTATTAACAAAATCAAATATTTCGAGGTTTAGAGTTTTGCCGCGCACGAAGACTCATGTTAAATTTGAATACAACATACCTTATCACCTGCGTCATAATAAACCTCGTTGTCATTCCCGTAATAACAAGGTCCGATCACAGTTTTTCCATCGAGAGCTCTAATCATTTGTCTAACTAACCGACGCCTCATAATCTCCTTGTTCTCGTTTTGTTGTATATATCTAGCAATCTCCCATTCCTGTGTCAGGGTGATGACACTTTCATCCTCGTCGTACACCATCACCACACTAAAGGGAAACGGTACCACGTAAGCCTTCCCAAAACATGTCATGATCTTTAGCGACAAGAATTCTGGAGCATAATACATGTCAGGTCCAACGTAATTATTCACGATTTTTTCTCTCATCTCTAATAGTGAGGATGACATTGGTGCCATGGATGATATGTAATTCCTCAATCCAATCTGCCTGATGATCTTCAGGTTTTCTACATGTCGTTCAGCGACTGTCCCCGAGAAATTCAATAAATAAGGTGGACGATATACACTTTGAGAATAAGCCACCACCTTATCCTCCGGCATCTTAAGTTGATCCGAGGTTAACAACAGCGTACTCCAAGTTTCCTGCCAAACCCTTCTTTTTATATGTTTCGAAAAATCCAACTTTGACGAATAAATGTTCAAACTGAAATCCAACCTTTTCGTGACCTTTTTCAGGATGGTGCGATAACTTTCGGTTTCCTGAAACACATACCATGCCACTATCGAAACAGAAAGGTAACTTATCACAAGTGATGCGCTTTTTATCGCACTAAGGGATCCTACTTGGAATGCAATAACAATGGCAAGCACAGAATTCACCACATATCCGGAACGTGACCAGTATTCACTCGTGTTCTGTAATGAATAGAGGAATGGTTGACTTTTCCAGTGAAACAAGAAGAGAATTATCATCAATACTAGTTGAATCGACTGCCGGACTATGTCGGTGTATATTCTTGGTATACTCCGGAATAAACAATTGTCTTTAGATATCATGACCACAAAAAGGATGTTGACAAATTTGTTGGCCATGATAAATGTTTTGTAAGCCGCCCACTTTTCGCTGTAAACTATTGTTTCAGAAGGAAAATCACATCAGTTTGGTTAAGAAACTTCATGATTCCCACCAGTTCGACGACAAATTACGACCCACTCACCATTGTACAAGAAATTATAAGGACAAGTGTCTTTTTGCAGCAAATTTTTGTATTCTTCCTCTGAAGAAGCGATGATTTCACCAAGCTCATTATATCTGTCCACTCTCGGCAAATTCCTATCGACCAACCTTTTCAACGCAATAGGGAACCAGAATGTGAAACCTCCAAGCGTCAGTAACGCCACCCCAATGAGTATCGGCGCAAAGTTCATTGAATCTTGTTTCATACTGGTGACGTAGCAAAAGTCACCAGGATTCCGCATACCCCCAGCGGCCTTGCCGAATACCGGGTTATCTTCATTTACATATGGATTGGGTACGGCCCAAAATGAGTCAGACCACACGAGGACGTCGATCGAGAGTTTTGAGACCGGGAGATACAGGGTGGTCAATATGAATACCAATATAACGTTTTGAAGTCGCTTGGTTTCCGGGCGCAAGTTCCACGGTGAGGATTCAAGACCCTGTTTAATCCGAATTTCAGAGGCTGATCGAATGGAAAATCATCATATCAAAACCAAGCAAGCAATTTACCTCAACATCGGCATTGGGATCATACTTGGTCATCAGTCTAAACCAATACAGTCCCACAAATCCAAATAAACAAAACAACAGAAAGAACAA